GGAATTCTGGGAGTTGAAGTCCACTCGTCTTAAAGTTCCCAAGGTTGAGGAACTCTGCTCTAGTGGACCCTGCACGGATTAGGAGGTTGGAATACATGATCTCTCTGGTCCCTTCCAACTCTATATGGTTCTACTACTGTTTTTATTGTAGCAGTCTTTGGAACGATGCTGCTGAAATTTGAGAGCCCAGTGGCTAAAAAACGAAACGGTCAACCCCAAACATCTTCAGAGAAACCTAAACCTTGCCCGTAGGATGGAAAATCCCAGCCCTGCAACACGGCCCCATTCTGTGCCATCCTCCTGCCCGCTGCAGAGCCCCCTCCAAAAGTTACCCACCCCTTTTCCAAATCGATTTCCAAAACACTTCCTTTTTTTTTTTTTTTTAATTTTTCCACTGGTTGACTGTTCTCCTCCAAAGGAGGATTTAAAATCCGATTTCTGCTTGGTGCCCTTGGGGTAACCAACATTTGCTTCTTGGGTGGATTGCAGCACAGAAGGAAAAGGAAGACTTACTCCTGTGAGCAAAATTATTCCCGCTGGGGAAAAAGGAGAGCAGCTGGGTCCTCCTCCTGTTTTCACATCGCAGGCCAAAAGGGAAAGGCAGACCCTTCCCCAGTGCAAGTTTTTGCATCCTTTAGGCAAAGATTTTTTTGTCCCTTTGCAAAATTCAGTGCGGTTTTGTGGATCGGTTCTTCCAGCCCTCATTGCACAAACAGTATTTACTGCATTTTGCAAAAACGAACCATTGTTGTAAATAAAAGAGGTGATTCTGCCCTGCGCATCCTTTGACTGGGGGCGAGGTGTGAGCATTTCTTGAATCGCATTTCTTTGAAGAATGTGACCTTGCTCAGTAACCGCCGAGATGACTAGAACTGAAAGAAGACACGAAAAGTATTTTTCCAGTTCACTTTGTGGTGTGTTCTGCCTGTAGGTAAGCTTTTGCTCTGTTTTCTGGGAAGAGGGTCGGGGTTTTCCTTTTCGGCTGCTGATCTTGAACAATTGGCTCATCAAAAAAAGAAAATATTGATTGTCACTGTAGGGGGTTCCTAACAGGTTTCCCTCGGGCAGAACGTCAAACCCTGGCTGCGTGCATCCATTCGGATCTAGGGTTTTTGGCACCCGCACAGACTGTAGTTTTCTAACATTGATCAACTTTGGGTTGGTGGACCTAAAAACATAAAATACAAGTCCAACATTTCTTGAAGGCTCTTGAAATCCTGGCTTGGAATGTATGTTCGATTTAAGCAACAGTTCTTTTACACTCATAAAAAAGAAACGGGATGATTTTTTTATTTCGAGAAGTAGGGGGAAAAAATCCTGGCTAATTATCAAAGTAACCCTCCATTTTTAACCCAGATTTATTGATGACAGCATAAGGGCCTTACACCAAACCAAAAGGAACAACCTGGCTTAACATGGTATGTGAACCAGGTCCTCCATCCTTAATCCCCTTCTCTTCCTCTCCCTCAGCCATAAGAAAACGTGAATTGGCTCACTTACAGAAAGCTGTTCAACTCAAGTTGTGGGCTACCAAGTTTTTAGCCCCAAAGATGGAAGCGGGGAGGGGGGAAGAACCAAGAGGAATGAGTTCATTGCTCTGGGAAGAAGAGAAATGCAGTTTAGTTTGAAGAGCAAATGGTAGATTCTCTCTCACCCTTTGAAATCTTCCCTCTCATTAGAAGCCAACCCCAAATCCTGTACAAAGCTCAGACTTTCTTCCCATCTTTTGAGCCCAGTCCAGGGCACCTCCTAAGGGCTGATCTATTTTTAAAAGGCTCCCTCACCCAACAGTCTTAACCCCAATTTGGGAATGCCAAAAGCCAGACTGGCTGGAATCCCAGGTGCTCCGAAGGCTGGGGAAGGCTGTGTGGACTTTGTTCCAATGGACCAAAATCATTTTCCTGGCTTTGGATTCTCTTTTTGCACTAAGGATGAGCTCATCCATGTCTCGGTCTTCCCCCAAGAGGTCATGTGCAACTTTTCCAAACTTCTTAGAAAGTGTAGAACCAGTGGGAAGAGCTTAAGAATCCTGGACCCGAATCAAGTTGCCTGGGTTAAGCATCGATCAGCAGCGTGCCACTGATTCCTTTTCAATTACTCCTTTTCTGTACATCATTGATCCAGAGACCTCTTGGGGTTAAATCATACAAGAATCTCTGATTTGTCTCCTATCCCTATGTCCATTTCAGCTGCTAACCTACCCTGCTGAAGGAAGGAACAAGGAACAGGCCAAAAGGCTCGTCCAGGTTACTCAATATATTCCTGGGAATGGCATCCATCAGGGAGACCCTTCCGTTAAAAAGCAGTCTTGACTCGCGAAGCATCTGCAGAACTACAGTCATCATCTTTCTTTCTGAGAAGGGAATATTTCGGCATTCTCTAACATCAGAACAGCTTCTTCTAAGACGCCTTCTGGATCCGCCAGCTCAATCTGGAAGAAAAACAGAAGAGTAATTAGTAGCTCAGCCCACAGCTAGTTTCTGCTGGCCAGCTACGGTATATAAACAGGGAGCAAGCCCCACCCTCTCTGCTGGCTGGGGGAATTCTGGGAGTTTAAGTCCGCCCAGCTTAAACTTGGGGAGGTTGAGAAACGCTGGTCTAGGGGCTGTCCCTGCAAAAGAGAGCAATTGGACTTGATGCAAATGCGGCCTTCTGCAGCAGACCCTTGGGTGAAGAGCGAAAGTCATAGGAAGGAGAACCTCCAGATCTGGACTCACGCGGGCTGCACTGTACCTTGGGGATTGGGTACTGGGTGGGCGTTGGTGCTTCGTCATGGCTAAAGTCGATCATGGTGCCGCACTTTGGTACGTCTGCCACCCAGAACCCTTCATAGAGCTGGCCGGTGTCCAGGTAGATAAACCTTCCTGGGCCGTGCTTCTTCCCATCTTTCCACGAACCTTCGTAACGGTTTTCATTTTCTGCAGTGGAGAGAGACGTTGCTCTGTTGTCATTTTAAAGGGGAGAGAAAAATGCTATTTTGCAGTTGCAAAACAGCCCCCTTGGTCGGCCGCTTCAGCTTCTGCCAGTCAGGAGAACGAAGCCACGGGAGGCGGGTCGTGGATGGAACCAAGAAGCACCAGAAAGTCTCATTCAAACCCCCCAAACCTACTTCTAAAGGCAGAACACACAATCATGGTTGAGATCCCCCCCCCTTTTTTAAATGATAATCTGCTCCCTTTCAGCTTTCTTGCAGAGGATCTTATAATCCAGAGATAAAGTTGTTTAAAAACCCGAAACACAATGCCAGACAGCGTTGAAAAGAACGATATATGAATGAGCTACCATGGGGGGGTGGTCTGCGTCTGCCCCTCTCCGGTCTTTCTGCAACAGATAAAGTGAGCCAAATCGGCATTAATGGCGAGTGTCAGGTTGCGAGTGTGTAGCCAACATGATCTTCGACGGCAGTTTTGTCATAACCCTAAACAGCACCCCGTGACTCACACCATTTGCAGCCAACTGCAGAGGCCGATAAAATTAAACTCACCAGCCTGCAGAGCGCATCATCATCACGGACTAATTTTAGCCTAAAGAAATGTCCAGCTCAGATGATAGAGACGCTCCGTTCAGGAATGCCTTTGCAAAACAATGGTTTTATCTATGGAGGGGGAGGGTTAACTCTTGGGATTTAGCAAAGGTTTCCTGTCTGGAGCTTCACGAAACTTGGCAAAGGGCCTCTTCCGTTAGAAATTAAACTCTGGTTCCTAGAGAGGTGCCAACCGTCTGGATCTCATCAAAGCTGAGAGGTAGACAGGATTAACCTCCCTCTTCCCACAAGATGCACACACCCTGTTATTCCCGTTCTTCAGATGTAAACCAATATTTAAAAATGAGATGTCGATCCTCTCCTTGTTCTGAAAGAGCAGTACCCGTGGTCTGCTGGCATCTCTTATCTTCACCACAACCCCATGAAGTAGGCCTTGCCAAGAAGGACGGATGGGCGCACGGCTACCTAGTGAGTTTTCAAATCCACTTATCCCATCTTTTCGAGATTTTAACCCCGGCCATCAGCCAGCAAGGGAATGACCTGGCGGTCATTGCTGTCACAACCAAGATGGAGACTTACTGCAGCGGAACATCCCTTGTCCGCTGGGCTTGTCTTCAGACCACTGGCCTTCGTAGATGGACCCGTCCTTGTAGTACATCCGTCCCCAGCCGTTTCGCTTCCCCCAGCCCCATTCGCCCTCGTAGTACTCTCCGTCGGAGTAGAACTTCACTCCGTAGCCCTGAAATTGTAAAAGAATCCAGGTGAGAAGAACGACCATGGCCAACTTTCTTCGGGTGTGAAATGGCACAGAGAGGCACGAACCAAAGGGCATTGTTGCCTTGCTTAACTCTGGTTTGGAAAGAGGCCACGCGCTCCCAGTTCCTCCATTCAAACTTTAACACTCCCAAAATTTGTGCAGTCACACATTGCCCAAAGCAAAACCCCTAGCCAAATTAAAAAGCGAATAACTTACCCACATTTTGTCATTTTTCCACCAGCCGGAATACACTTTCTTATGATCCTTTGTCACGGGGTCCAGAGTACTGTAAGTCCCGAAGCCATCCCGTTTTCCGAATTTCCAGTCTCCGCTGTAGATCGCTCCGGTCTTTTTCCATATCTGCGTTCCTTTGCCTGGCGAGGTTCGAAAGGCGGTGGGTAAGGTCGGTTAGCCTCTGAAGAGCGCACCAGATGGTGTGCTGGGCACAAAGGAGCCCCACGTGAGCCGAAGGGGCCCTTCCAGGATGGTGAATGTCCAATGGTCTGGCCCCTGCTCCCCTCTCCCCCCCTTTTACCGTGTTTGACGTTGTCCAGCCATTCCCCGATGTAGCGATCTCCGTTGACAGCGTAGACGGTGTGCCTCAACCCACACTTCTGCGCCTTCCTATCCCATTCGTACCAAAGCGGGTCAACTCTTCGGGGGTATTTTACAATGGGCATCTCGTCTGGCGGAGAGAAACGAGGAGAGACCCAGGGCATCGCCTGGAGCTTGGGGCAGGTTTGCGCAGCCGTGAAGTGGGGCTGACAATCGCTGAGTTGAGGGCTCCGCGCCTCGCAAAGGAGTCAAGAGGGGAAAGGAAGTTTCAAATAACGTAGCAGCCATTGCAGCCCTGATTGTGAAACTGGCGCTGTTTACAAACAGAAGCCAGCTAAAAAGTCAGGACATGGTAAGGAACCAACTGGACAACGTAAGCGGAAAAGGTTCTCGTACGGAACAGCTACCTCCATGGTTCTCCAATCAGAGGCTGTAGGTTCAGGAGAATTAGACTGCCTCTGAGCATGGGCAGAGTTCTTTTATCTGTAGGCAGCCACCACAGCCTGTGGGGAAAGGTGGCCGAGATATTACACAGCCACAGGCCAAGGGTGGGATTTGGCAAACGCCATTTTCGGTTATGCTTTCATGACTCAACATGCCCTGATTCCCATGTGCTGTAAGCTCTTATTTGTTGAGCTGTGGGTGCTGAACAAGCCACCCTTGGCTGGTTGGGACCCACGCCCTCCTCATAAGCCCTGATTCATAAACCACGATGCCCAGGGGTGTGCCAGTCCACTAAGCCCAACCAGATCAAGCCAGCCCCATTACCCCGGGCACCGTCTGTAAACCTGGCAGGGATCAGCCCGGACCCCGTCTCCAGAAGAGCATCTCCAGGTTTCAAGCCCCCCAGGCGGGTTACCTGGCCAGGCCCGTGTTCCTGCTCTTACACCTGGGAGCGGAAGTCAGTCTGCGGGGATGTTCCTTCAGCTTCTCCTCCCTCTTCGCTGCGGTCCCAAAGCAGCCCTGCCGGTGTGTTCCTTCAGTGGAGCAGGGCCGAGTGATCCTGGCCAAGCTCCTGAGGTCACGGTGACATCAAGAGCCTCCCCTTATTATGCGGCACTGATCGTCCAGGAGATCACCGGCCAGCCCTGCCCGCTCTTTCCAGTTCCAGCACACCTGGATGGCTGCTGCAGCAGCCCACACGGTTGCCCCGGGACCCTCTCGCGGGGAGGGAGCGCCAGCCAGGCAGACCCCTTAGCCCAGCAGTCCCTCCGCGACTTCCTCGAAACGCCCGTCCAGCTGCGAAGGGCCCCTTGGCCGGCCCTTCAGAACCTCAGGGCCCGGGCTACTGCTGCCCTACCCATGTGGCCAGCAACCAGAGGTGCGCCAGATGGGGCAAAGAGGATCCTCTGATCCTCTGAAACGTTGCAGCCCGGAGAAGATAACCCTGGTTCCGCGCTTAAAAACCTTACCCCCAAGACTTGAGACTTAATTGTATCGTAGAAGGAGATTTGGGGTAGTCTAGGGGAGCCAAAAATCAGAAAAAGTCTGGCAGCACTGAATTGACTTAAAAGGCAGAAATTAACTTTTGCTGGTCTCCAAAAGGTGCTCCCAGACTCCTTCTGATGTTTATAATACCGGAACCAAGATGGCAGGCAGCCTCTTTCATCGTTTATCACCCCCGTTCGCCATTTTTCAGGCCTGCTGCCTGAACTTGTTTCTCTTTCCTCTTCCCTCCCCATCGCTTTTTCCTTGTATGCCATGTCCTTTCCATTGGAAGTCCAGAGAAAGGCACTGGTATCCCTCTAGGAACTTTTGAGGATAAAAAGCACGATGAAAAGACTGCAAATAAATAAACAAAATAACGCGCAAAGAGAGACCAACCTTGTATCTGCCATTGTAAGTTCAGGTGGCTCCAATCTCGGGCACTGAGCAGGTCTGCCCCCATGGAACTGCAGGGCCAGTGCGGTGTGGTCATTTATGCTCAACTCAGACGCCGAAGCTTGCGTGGCAACTCCAGTGGCCATAGCAACTGAGCCCTTTGCTGCTACAGCAGATCCACAACAGACAGACATTGAACGTGTCCTGCCCCCCAGAGGTCTTTCTGATGAACGGAAGTCCATCCAATCCACGAAAATCTGCTTTGGAGGCGCCCACAAGACCCGTTTTTGAACCCAAGGCTGGATTTGGCGCCTAAGCAGCCCGAAGGGGAGATAACAGGGAGGCATCTGTTTCTCCAGCCACATCTTACATTTTGCTTTGGCTTATGCCCAGACGGGAGGCAGCCGTCTTCGTCCCCTTCTCTGATTCCTGTTGGCTGGCTTGGGAAGGTGGCGCTGCCTCTTTGCAGAAACCCGTCTGCTGGGAAGATCGGTTTCCTCAGTGCTTAAATCGGTTAAGGAGGCCGTGGGACTCACTCCGGATTTTGCAAGCCTGCCAAGGAAACCGCGCCGCTTTTTCTCACGCCCCTTCCCCGCAATGCATGCTCTGTAATGACATTTTCACATTGGCAGGTGCATTTTTAAAACACCTAGCCCACGTTGTTTGTTTTTTTAAAATTGCAGGTTTGCAGCCAAGGTCTTGGGACCTTCTCTGCCCTTCCTATAGTGTGCGGATGCCTCGAGGACCCGTCACAAATAGGGATATTGTTACCGACTGTTTCAGACAATGAGGTAGTTTGGAAGACCAGCTTAAGGGGTGTAAGGACTCTCTGCAGCCTCTTCACACGTCGAGGGCTCCCCAGAAACAAAAGGATGTATTCTGTGAGTCACCCGCAGTCTTCGCTCTGGAATCGGGCGTCCCCTAAATCCGATGAAACTGCTGCTGCTCATTGGGGGTGTGGATGCTGTTGTAGGCCCCACCCAGGAAGGCCAAAAGAGGAGGATGCTGGGTGCTTTAATTTCACACCTTCCCAAGGGCCGTGGGGGCCCCAACCTTGCAATGCAGAGGTGCTCGTGGTTGATCCGGGTCACTGATTCAACCTGGGCAACCGAGCTGCCAGGCAAAAAGATGAAAATCTTCAGTCTCTGCCAAGCCAGCCTTCTGCAGTCCAATGGATGTGCAACACTGCCATCGGGTGGCTGAAAGGTTCCTTTCCTTTCCTTTCCTTTCCTTTCCTTTCCTTTTTCTTTTCCTTT